TCGCGGTACACTGAGATGCCGGAGCTGATCCCGACATTACTGTCGAGATCCGCCCAGCTGCGTGAGTGACAGCTGGCTCTGCCTATCTAGAGGCTGTCCCCGCCCCCACCCCCCCCAGTGGTCACACTGCAACATTGTAGCTTTGTAGAAGTCAAAATCTAATCTGAACTGCAGAGGCTCCGGGATTTTACATCATTGTGTCGTCTCTGATCTCTGGGGTAGTCCAGGAAGTAGATGGTGACCCTGGATGATGGCTGAACCAAGATAACTTCTTTTTCTTTTAGAGATAAAAGAAGAGGAAGGCATTACCAGGGTGGGGTTACCGTGATCTCTGTGAGAGGTAACAAATGCCTGGAAGTGCTACTAGACATTCGGACGGAAATTCGGAGATTCGGATGCATCCGAATTACAGCTAAAACGAATGCACACGAATCCGAATTCCCGATTTCCCGAAATTCGTTAATCCAACTGGGTGGGTGTGCGGTGGTGACAACGGATGCCTGCGTGAAATGTAGATAGATGAAAGTAGTCACTCGCACTCCATGGATAGTAAAGTCAATGCTGTTTATTGACTGAGATAACACACATCTCCTTAGCGAGGAGCGAGGGCTCTGTGAAGGACGCTCAAGTTCCACCACCCCAAACTGGTCACACCGTGTCTGTATGGAGCTGGCTTTGTACACAGGGGACAGTCATGGCGGAACACAAAAGGGTCTTCACCAAAACTGGGACCACAAGGCTGGAAGAGCTCAATGGTCTACAATGTCTTTGTATGCTCTAGCGTTATCAGTACACTTGACCTGAACCCATTCATTTGAAGGGGGGGCACATAGTTTTGACTGTATAGTGTAGGTTGTTAGGACAATGAAGGGGTAAGCAGGGGTATTGTATTATTCAGGGAGCGGATATGACCCGTCGCCGGCCGTATCGGCAAATAAACTTTTATTCTTTTCCTCAAACAATCAAATAAAAATGGCGGATATTCAGCAGAATGACAAAATCAACAGGCCAGCAAACACAAGATTCGGCTCAGCGCCTGTATACCGAGTCCCAGCCTCAGGGTTAGAGTCCCAGCCTCAGGGTTAGAGTGCCAGCCTCAGGGTTAGAGTGCCAGCCTCAGGGTTAGAGTGCCAGCCTCAGGGTTAGAGTGCCAGCCTGCTCACAGAGGGTTCCAGTATGGACACAGGTGCCCCAGCAGTGTCTCGGTAGACGGTATCCCACAGCCTAACACACACACAGCCATGTGTCCTGCTCCAAACACTCCTCACAGACACCGACTGACTTCCTGTTCCTTTTTAACACACCCCCTGGCTGGCGGGTTAACCCTTTCATTACCAGAACTGGCTGTAGCCAGGGATGGGAGGCTCTGTCCCACCCAAAAATCTCTCTGAGCCTCCCGTATCGGGACCCCGTGTAGTAATAATTAACAACTCTGAGAAGACTGCCTAGCAGTTTCCCCTTAGAAGTCCGAACCCGGAAACCCCCTCAACCCTGAATACAAGGCGACCTTAACGGGACCACCCACCTAAACAAGGGAGGGATATACCGTCCATCCGGGACCCACCCCCGGCGTCCTGTACACCACATATATGGCATTGCAGTCATAAGATCTGACCGCCAAGTGATGTTTGTGGCATGGACAGGTATGCTCCAGTCAGACAAGTAATAGGCCAAGGTAACTTGGCCGTGTTTGTGGGAGGAGTTGCGGCGGCTCTCCTCCCCTTAAGAAGGGGTACAGGGAGCTCCTAGGCAAGTCACGGCGAGGTCGCGCTTGACCCTCCCGCCCTTCCCCAGGTTCTATCATTTCACTAGAGCGTGCCCCCTTATTTGGCACGCTGACCATAAAATCATGGCACACATCAGGTTGGTATCAGTAGGGGGCATGAAGACTTCGGAAGCCTAAGTAACTCTGACCACAAGCGTGCATGTTTATCCAGAGAGTAGTCACACCTGGGCTCTCCGGATCACATGACTTCCGGTGACCGGCAGCATGAGATGATGTAGAGATGTGAATGGATCTCCCGGTGCTGGCGTCACTCGTAGTTGTGCGGTCACTGGTTCTATTAGTCACAGTTTGCCTGCATTACATGTCTGTATCTATTTATATTTCTTTTGGTTTTTGGGGAGATCGGTGTGGATTTGGTGCCTCGGCTGAACACGAACAGATTAGAAATAAAGAAAAAAATGATCATCTGTTACAATCTTCCTGGAATTCGGATATGTGATTAAAACTCCTCCTAATAGCCGTGACAGGTGACCCAAGCTGGGGATTTTCCGATCTGGGATCATTCCAAAAGTCATTTGGAAAGCCATTGGGTGAACCAACCCGCCAGCACCTATGGAAACCATTTCTTTGGGTAGACTGACCTTTTAAATTGGACCTGTGGCCAGACAATGACTATTTCAGCATTTACAAATGTTACCAGCAGTAAATAATAGGGATGCACCGATACCACTTTTTTTTTTTACGACCGAGTACGAGTACCGATACTTTTGATCAAGTACTCGCCGATACCAATTACCGATACTTTTTCTTAAAGGGACAGGTCACATTTTTTCTACAGCAATACAAACTAATGCATTAAGGTCAGTTTCTTAATATTATGATTCATGAGATGGAGCATGACGCCGCCTTTCCGGCCAATCAGAATGCCGGGCGCTGCGTCATTACACGGCGCCCGGCTTCCGGATTTGCTAGCTTCCTGACCAATCGGGAAGCCGGGCAGAGTGTCATTACACGGTACCCAGCTTCCTGATTGGCTCGGGAAATCGGCTCCGTGACGAGGGAGCATGGAGCCGTTTCCGGGCCAATCAGGAAAGCGGGCAGCGTGTAATGATGCGCTGCCCGGCTTCCTGATACAGGAAGTACTCGTGCTAGGTATCGGAGCATTTGGGCGAGTACGAGTACTCACCCAAATACTCGGAATCGGCACCGTTACTAGTATCGGTATCGGTGCATCCCTAGACTAAATAAGCTTTAATACAAACCCTCAATGACCTCTGTAGCAGGAGCACTGATACCTGTTCTCAGCTGCTCAGCTCCTCCCTGCCAACATTGACTCAACGGCTAAGCTCATCCCAAACGCCCCTAACTAAAATTACTCAGCAGCACAGCTTACCCTGTTCCCCCCTGTCAGCAGTGACTCAGCAAGTCAGCTCCACCTGCTGCTCCCCCCCCCCCTGCAGTGCCTTTGCATCTCTGCTCACCTTGCCTCCCATTCCCAGCAGTGACTTGGGAGCCTCCCAGCACTCTAATCTCTAATGTAAAGACATGGCAGGGGCACGGTGAGAAGAGGGCAGGGTTGGTTGAGCCGCTGAGTCAACCCTAGGAGTGGGAAGCACGGGGAGCTGAGTAGATGAGCATAGGACTTGAACAACTTCAGTGCTTCAGCTGTGGACCTTAAAGGAGAACTATGAGGCGAGTGATTTTCACTCAGCCTCATAATCTGCGCCGACCTGTGACAATGAGGCTGTCACAGGTCGGCTCATTAGATCGGGAAGTGAGCGCACACATACCGGCGCTCGCTCACTTCTCGATCATCTCCCTGCAGAGAGCCGTGGCTATCACTCACGGCTCCCTGCAGGGATTTCCCCCTCCCCTTCCCGCTCCGATTCTCCAGCGCTGACTGGAGGAACGGACTGGGAAAGGGGGCGGGCACAGCTGGCTCTGCCTCCAGATAGGCAGAGCCAGACGTCAATCACGCAGCTGGGCGGATCCAGACAGAATTGTCGAGGTCCGTCCCGGGCTGCGGCGTCTCAGTATACCGCGAGCTGTAGCCCGCTATATACTGAGCTTTGGTTCGCGGGAGGACGCTAGTTTGTGTTCTCCCGTGACCCATAGGAGAACTATGGGGAAAAGCCCTGACCCCCATAGTTCTCCTTTTAAGAACTAATTGCTCCACAGTGCCTGTAGCTACAGAGGGCAGTCAGTGAGGTTCATTCACTGCTCTTTAAGACTATTTATATACTTAAATATCCACAGCCTGGTCACATGTTCATTTTAAAAGGGCCATTCCACTCAAAATGGATATTTCAGTGCAGAGGACTCTTCTGTCTTTTGGAAGACGTGCTGAATAGATTTCCCTACCCTTCTCTCTTTGGCCGCCTTGCTTTTTTTTAATTGGTTTTGACCACCTTTCGGTGTTCTCACTGCTCCCGTTGCATTCCCTTTATTATAAAATATATTATACATGCAGTAGGAAGAGTGGGACCTCCTTACAATGGCTGCAGCTGGTGAGCCGGCCCAGATACTCAAGCAAAGACATCTCACCCCTGGAGACCCTGAAAAATGTAAAGGTGGCCATACACTATACAGACCTTAGTCTTGCGAGGGTTGTAAAGTGATTAAAAAAACGTACGATCTGCCCATCTTGGACAGGCAGATCGTACTCTCGATCATCGCAAGCCGCGCCCCCCTGAGGGGCGTGCTTTTGATGACTGTAATGAGGGGCGGGCTTACAATGACTGCAAACGGGCAGTGTGCGCGTGCGCACACCGGCCCGTTCGTCAGTTGTCGAGCCAGCAGGCCACTAACTCGCCGAGAATCGGTTTTCTAGCCTGCTGGTTCGACGGAAGACGTGCGACCGTACAGTAGAAACGGTCGCACGCCTTCCATACACTGCACGATTCTCGTACGATCGAGGGATTTCCCGCCATTCTCGTACGAGAATCGTGCAGCGTATGGGCACCTTTAGATGGTCATTGAACTCTCTGGCACCTACCACAAATTGGAATCAAAGTTTGCCTGGAGTGACCCCTTTATTGTGTTCACGGAGTCATTGTTGCATCATGAGTCTCTTTATAACTTCAACTATTGACATCCACGCCCTTGTTCCCAAAGATCTGTTACCTGATGGTTGTTGCGCTGGTGGTGGGTGGTCACCTCGGCCGCTATGAATGTCACGTTCTTTCACCGTAGACCTTTTGTTTTTGTTTTGTTTTTCTTTCCTCTGCCTGCTGCTGCTGCTGCTGATCTGCTGATGTTCTGGCATGCTCCACAGACAACTTTTGCATGCGTGGCCTCTCTAATTTTTACCCAGATTTAACGAAACGGATCCGTACTTCCTATCAGAGTAAGTTCTCGGAGGGCAGAGCTTGGTGCTTGTGTTTTGCCTTTTATCTTATGAAAACGCATTTCTCCTGCATGGGTTCTTCTGTTGTTGGCTTGTGGAACGTATGGAGCTCAGCCGGCAGTCTGCTGGCTTGTTGTTATTTTCTGAACGCTGTGCTAGACCTCGCAACTGAGCGATGCTGCGATAGAAATGTGTCTGCCCGTATCGAGCTGGATAATTATGTGTATACACTGTAACCCGTTTGTGACTTGTTTTATGGACGATGTCTGTACTAACATGAACTTCGTCCTTTTGTGTACAGTCTCGTATAACTGTCTGTTCTGTTCTATGTGATCTCACCTCATGACCTGTACTATCCCACTCCTCTTCCTGTAAGATGGCCTCCTGTCAGGGGCGTCCCGAGGCCGGGTGCCACCTGGAGCGGAGACCGGGTGACACCCCGCCGTGACGTCATCACGCGCATGCGCACTATTGCGCATAAACGTTCCCATATGCACGTGTCCACGTGCTAAAGTGCGTTTTCCAGGTAATTTCAGCAGTGGATTGCATGCTGGTGCACGGTTTTGGGCAGGAGTCAATCTGCAGGTAAGTCTCTTACAGGGAATCTCTCCAAAGTTAGGGAAATCCCCATTTAGTTGTCACCGCAAGCGGACTTCCCACCACTTTCAGTTCTGGTGACTGGCCACCAGGAGAATTAGAGAGGGATAATCTCTCCAGACACAAACAATAAAGAACTGACAGGGTTACTTGTCCTTTCCTGCTCCATCCAAAAGAGAAATAAAAGCTTTAGCTTCAGGTAGACGTTACTTATCAGTGCTCCTGTTCTTTCTTATTATACGGCCTCCCCTAGCACAGCATGACATAAATCACTTTTCTCTGGAGAGCGCAAGTCTTCTCACCAGCAATGGTGGCCAGGAGCATATGACACCTGTGAGCGGCAGAGGCGCCCCGAGGCCGCGCGTCATCTTATTGACGCCTGCCGGCGGCCATCTTGGTCATAGACGCCGGCAGAGAGAGGAGGGGACGTTCACCCGGCGGGATGAGGTATGCCGCCGGGTGCCCTCCTCTCTCCTCACACTGTCGGGCTCTCGGTCAATGACCAAGTGCCTGTCTTTTCAGAGAGGGTGACACCAAAATGACTGTCATTAATTTTGGTGTCACCCCTCCAATGGTGGCACCCGGGTGCGGGCCGTACCCCCCCTTGTGACACCACTGTCTCCTGTCAAATATAATAAAGTATATCTAAGGCCACACATTTTTAGACAGAGTAGGGAATGGTTAAAAATTGCCATCTGTGTCCCAACGGGGAGACTTCCCTCCACTTCTTGTCCTGTAGACATAATAGGAAATGAGAGAGTTGCCCTCTTAGACAGGTGTCACCACAACAAAGTGCTCCCATTGAAAGCATGGTTGTGCTGGTAGGTCAACATTGTGACTTCTCCTTCACTTTCAGTCCATTACAAAATATATTGGGTGAATCTCCCTAGCGGGGACAGAGACCACAATAAAAACCTGGTCGCTATATGTGTCGGTGGAGCTCCGAACCCCAGAGTACTGATCCAACCATTAGAGGGAGCTTTCTGTCAATCAAAGGATCCTTGAAATATGCTAAAGATCGTTTGAAGGCTGAGAACTGACCTAAATGGGCCCAGTAAAAGCGTACTTTTACTTCAAGAAGTCAAACAGCCAACGTGTTTCGAGTGCTCAAAACCCACTTTTCGGCAGGGATTTAATACTGGGCAATGGTGGCAAATAAATGGATAGGAAGATCATGGTGTGGGTCACCAGACTTGATAGCCTGGCTACTGGTTGTAAAATAAACTTGGACCCGTTCAAGTCTTCTGGCCATCTCTTCCCCTTAATTATCTTATGCAGTAAAAATCTGACAGTGAATCCAAAATTGAAAATAACTTTTGGCTTGAAATACACTTTAATTATTGTACCGAGCCAACAGAAGCCTGTACATAAGTGTTGCAGCCAAAGGTATCCGGTATGACGCGGAAGACGATGAGAGTAGTCGATGAATCAGCAGCCAAAGGTCGGTACACGGGTAGCAATATGAGTAGATTGTATCACAGAGGGAGCAGGAAGCAAGATATCGTCAGGAGCACAATAATCGGGCAAACAGGAAGTGCAGAGGCGTGGCTTAAATAGGAAGTTCAAGGGAGGAGCATAGAGTTCAGAGTTCAGCAGAAACTAGGTTTACCTGAGGATTACACAGGAGATCAGGCAAGGAGCTATCCAAGGTTCGGAGGTGGCTCAGCAGGTAGAACCACCGCCAGACACATCAGAGGCCCCGGGTTCTGACAATAGTGGTCCTTCCTTTTAATATGAAGGGACGGGTAGATGTCTCACTTCCCATCATTCTGAAAACCTCTTGCTAAAGGTAATCTTAGATGACTATAGGTCCAGAGGGTTGTCATGATACAGTAGGTTCTCCTGCCCATCGTCCAGTCCACATGCAGGAAACAGGAGGTGGGTGGGTGGTTAGATTCTGCTTATCTCAGGGGGCTCAGTAGTGATAGGGGGCAGCCTCCTCTAATCGGCCTAATTGTGTCATCCCTACAGTGTGAAATGGGAATGTCTGATAGACGTGTTTGGGTGATAGTTGTCTCACATCTGCGGGTACCATTACTCTATCCCTAAGCCAGGGATGGCCAAACTGCGACCCTCCAGCTGCGGTGGAACCACGAATCCCATGAGGCTTTGCAAGATTCTCCCAGCCACAGGCATGACTCCCGGAGAGAGATGCTTCATGGGATTTGTAGTGTCACCACAGCTGGAGGGCTGGAGTTTGGCCATCCCTGCCCTAAGCCTTGCCCTATATCTAAGCTTTAAATTCAGCATAACCCCTGTGTGTAAATCAAATACAAACCATCATTGTGACAAAAATTAGGCGAAAATTAGGCGAAAAAACATCTCATCAAAATGTTTTAAAAAAACAACAACAAAGGGCCACAAATAAATTGCCACTAGGAGGTGCAAATTGTTCACCAAAATCAGATCAAGTAACCCTAAAATATAACGCACTACATTCATTTCCCCCTGGTTTGCGGCGTGCAGGTAAGCAAGGGCAGTCGTCCTGCTGATGTTTGTGTGTGCCAAGCCCTGCACCCCCGGACCCCAGTAACGCCGGCAGCTCCTCTGGAAGTTTATCAGAACAATGCACAGGTACAGTCACGTGATCCATTCAATACACCCCGTGGAAATCGTTGACTTCTTCAACATTTGATCGGGCAAACATTAGAACTTTACTCAACCGGTGCCGAAGCATCAACATTTCTGATCGCTTCTCCGTGGAAAATTCCTTCAGTTGCGACTTGCGAGATGTTTTTAGGTTTCTGCTCCTTCCAAACCTCCCCTACGAGATTTCAACGGGAACAAAATCAGGGCAGTCTACAGCCCTCCGTGTCTTCTCTACGAGCCCTTCCTTGAGGGATTTGCCAGAGCGCTTCAGATCATTATCATGTTAAAAAACATTTCCCGTTCATCCTCCACTTTTTGGACAGATGTTCTCACGTTGTCGTCCAGCGCAGCATGATCCGACGCACGGTGTATAGTGGACTTGATGACTGCGAGCTGCCCAAGCCCTGAAGCAGCAGAGCAAACCTAAACCATAACATTTCCATCAGTGGAACGATTGATTGCATATCATTTGGTGATCTTTTTAAATCCTCCGCCAGACTCATAAGCATCCACAACTCTTTCTGAGGGCCTCAGAGCTCTGTTGGTACACGTCACTAGCAAAGAGAACACCAGACCCGAGATACCGTATCTGAGGTTTACATTGGGCAAGTTCCACCTGCATACTCCCTAAGGAGGTCCTAATCACTGGCCCCGAATCTGGATCTAAAGTGGTGGGTGATGTGGGGGTGTACCTTCTTTTTCCAAATGAGGTCAACATTTGTATTCATTTAGATCAGGCCTTCTTAAACTTTTTGGCCGAGGACCTTTTTAAGGGACCCCAGCGTCGGACGGTGTCTCTCCCCTCTTTCCCCCAATGTCGGTAGGTGTCTCCCCCTCCCCTAGCATCAGTCGGTGTCTCTCTCCTCCTCTCCCCCCTGCGTCGGTCAGTGTCTCTCTTCAGCATCAGTCAGTGTCTCTCTCCTCTTCTCCTCCCCCTCCACCCCCCCAGCATTGGTCAGTGTCTCTCTCCTCATCTCCCCCCTCCTCCCAATGTCAGTCTGTGTTTCTCCTCCTCCCCAACTCTCCCCCCTGCCACCGCGGTGAACGGACGGTCAGTGTGTCATTACCACCTACTACTAAGCCCCCTCCCCCTCTCCCTTCCCTTTACCCCTTTAAAGGAAGCTCCGACAATGTAAAAAAACCTTCCTGAGCGCACATGCTCATTAAATTACCAAGTGCACAGGGGGGGCTGCAACCTTAAAAACTACACTACACTGCACATTAAACAAAAATAAAAAAATCTTGCTTGGAGCCCAGATCGCGACCCCCCTGTTCACTTGCGGGACCCCATATGGGGTCGCGACACACACTTTAAGAAGCACTGATTTAGATCATGAATGAAGAATCGATGTTGTGTCTCATTAGGTTACGTCTATCACTGTTATCTGTGGGCACTGCCTGAATCAAGATCCAATGTTTCCCGGTTCAAATAGGTTGAAAAAGACAACAATTTCCATGGGGTGTACTAACTTTTTCACACACAGTATAGTCCTTGTACACGTACAGGGGCTTGCCTTTGTTTTTATCACCGGGATAGCACAAGTCGCAATGTCTAACAAATAGGTTTAATGAGTCATAGTTACTGCTTTCAGCTTCAATTGATGTCGCCTTAAAATCTATTGCAGTCCCCTTTCATCTCCCAGCCGCCGAGGAGGACCTGCTACCCGAGACGCAGCTTGGATTGTCATTAGCGGAACATTGCTTTATTTTCTGCAAACATTTGAACGGGAGATAGTGATTTCTTGTAGACACGTGGTGAGGCAGTGCAGGGGAAGTACATGATGAAAGTACTCGGAGCAGAAGAGTTCTCTAGGGGGGCACGGCAAAGTGCCGCGGCTCACGTTGTCATTATTCTAATGGGAATGTTCTACTTTCAGGTCTAACAGAGCTCACAGACAGCCCCGTGTCCCTGGACCTGGATCGCTGCAAGTCTCCCACTTCAGGTACGTGTGATGGAATGTGAGCATTGGTGCCGCCATATTTGAGGGGGTCGTTCATATCATATGTGAGGGGTTCTGGGCCACCATATCTGGGGAGGAAGGTCGGTCTACTTGGTAATATTTGGGCGATGGGGCTCTCCAACATTTTTTGAGGGGTCTTCGATATCATATCTCAGGGGGGTCGGTAAACGCCGAGTGGAACATCATAACTCAGGGGGATATACACTGTCATATGTCAAGGTTTCTGTGTTGCCATATCTGGGAGGGGGG